TGGAGGTAAAATAACACTTTAGTGTCAATGGCCTCACCGAAATCACTCAACAATAGCATAACAGCAGGACCGAGCTGTAATGAACGTTCAGCATCCATTAGGTGGCTGTTCTCATGCTCAAGTCCATTAGCTGTGTTCTGATTACTCTATTGACTTAAAATAATAAATGACCAGTCTTTCTCAAGACGTGTTTGTGATCGTGTGTTTTTCTTATTTATACTACTATGTCATGAGCTGCTTTCCAAATCGCATACTTATGCTAAATACTAAAAGTATGTAGCCTACTTCAATGCTAATGTGAAAGCACTGTACATAATTTTGAAAAAGTTTGACCGTATTCATGGGACGTGAACAGAATGAATCTGTGTAATTTGTTTGTTAAGCAATTTTTTTGTAAATAGTTGTATTCAGTTGGACAATTGACATGATAGGGTTTTAAGATTGATTCACACTGAAATTAGTTCTACTCATGTAGTCAGTATTGTATGGAAGCCTGTCTGTGCCACGGAATAAAAAAAAAAAGGTAATTGCGACATTTTCCTCACAACTTTGGTCTTTTTTTCTCACAATTCTGAGTTTATGTCTCACAGTTTATGTCTCACACGAAAGCTCAGAATTATTAGATATGAATGCACAATTCTGTGAAAAAAGTCCAAATTGCTAGATATAAACTATAAAGGATATAAAAGAATTCTAACTTCCTAACAATTATGAGTTTATATATTGATATAAAAGTCAGAATTGTGAGCCAAAAATTGGCAATTATCTTTTTTATTAGTATAAATAGTACGATTTTAAGTCATCAAATATCTCTCCAAACTCAATCATTTCTGAAAGTTAATCGCTGAAATATTTGTCAGTATGTGAACATTTACAATTTTGAATTGGGTTTTATTTTTGTATCTGACATTTTCATACAGTTAGTTTTAGGATTTAATTTTGTTGTGTGTTTTTGTCATTTTTATTATTATTATTTTTTTTAAATTTGTCTATAATTTTTACTAATTTATAATTTTTAGTTTTAGTTTTATTTTAGTACATCAAGTTAAACTAAATAAAAATGAGAAATGTTGTTTTGTGAACTAGCTGAAATCAAGTATTTTTTTCTATTTTATTTCAATTAATGTTTATTTTATTTCAAGTAATCAAAATGCTTTTTTATGGTTTTCATTTTTCTTTCAGTTAATTATAATAACCCTGGTTCAAGGGTTGTGGCCAATAGCCTATTAGCTGAAAAAGCATGTGCAGTTGCATCTATAGCATACTATTTTCATAATGTTCTTCGGTTTGAGACACATTGGCTATGTTCCGATTAGCAGACTGTCATGCTGTACATAGTATGCAAATATAATTGTATGACAGGATGCCACCTGCATGCAACATGATGTGGTGATTTGTGACAACATGTTGCATTATGCAGTAAACTAGTATTCCATTCTGAACGTAGCAAACTGGAATGCAGCCATGTTCTTACTCTATATTTTTCCACACTGTTTAAATGTTTTCTCATTTTGCTGATGAGTCAGTACAAATATTACAGAGTTAGTACAAAGATTTTAGTTCATCAAATATTGTTTGTGATTTAAACCGTTGGTTGGATCCTAACATCTTCAGCTGGATGTGGAGGAAAGTGAAGAACAGCACGACGTGACCCATTTCTTCCAATTCTGTCTTTTTCCCTCTGACTCTCATTAGCTGTCCTATTGTGTTTGTTAAATGTGGCAGGCCTGTAAGACAGCCATAAAAACAATGTAAATCTGGCCGGGACAGGCGATGGGGAAGCGCGTGAAAGACTGTATAGTCCACTTTTTATTTCACACTCCTAAACCTGTGGCCTGTCCCCTCCTTTTCCAGCTTCCCTCTCATTGCGATCCAAACTGTCACCTTTTATGGGAGTGTGTGATGGTTTCACTGTGTATGAGTGAGCGAGAGAATCTGGGCTAAAGAAAGAAAAGCCGTGATCGAAGGCCCCATTCACCGCTTTCTTTAACAGCCTTATTAGCTGGCTCGTTCGGAGTGAATGGGAACGTTTCTTTTATGAGGAAGGGGGAAAAAAACAGGAGGCTCGGGCAGCCTGGTGTAGAGGAGAGAGGAAAAACAAGAGGGAAAGGCATATTCGCCACAGTTCCCTCCTCCTATCCTAATCCCGCTCTCCTCCGCGACTCTGTAGTTTTCTCCTTCGGATCGGTGAAAAGGGCCTGTCCAATGGAGAGGACAGTTTGGAAGGGGAGTGTGGAGCGCGACAGGGAGGCCCCTCAGTCTCTGAAATTTAGGGGTCATTGATTAGGGAGCCTCCCTGTGTGAGCGCTGGGACAGAGAGGGCTCCACGAAGGAGCTGCGTGAGGGCACAGCTAGTAATGCTGGGGAAATGACGGGCTCCGTATGCAACAGTATGGATGATATGGAGTGGAGCTTACATGCAGATGAAAGGAAATTACAAATCTGTCATTATTTACTCACACTCATGTCTTTCCAAACCTTTCACCAAACTTTAAACAGCTCTTTTGCATATGAAAGACAGTTTATAGTGCCCAAACCTCTTTCAATATCCAATAAAATAAAATAAAAATAGCTATAAAATATTGATTGGTAGTTTTGTATTAGAAAGAACATTGACAGTTTTCTGCTCTTCTGAAGCACTGAAATCTGTAATTTTCCATGAATCCATGAAAAACTAATAATCAGAAACATTATAGCTTAAAACATGTAAAAAAAATTACATAGCATTTTTAACTATATGGTACAAATATTCCACTTAAAAAAATAACCACTTAATTATTTATTGTTTACTCCCGACATCTGAGCCGCTGAAGACGCAGCGGATTATGTTTGTTTGTGAAGGGAATGCGCCCCCGATCTACCTAAATGTGTCTATCTTCATGCAAATCATTCATGATCCAGCTTCAGGTCCAGAAGAAGTGAGTGTAATGCCGAGTTCACACTGCACGATTTTCAAAGACGTCGCATCACTGTTTGTTTCACACTGAACGACTATCTGGGGTAGCATTCAGTTGTTGCTGTGTTCACACTGCACGATGGAACGACGACAGGAGGTTACACACTGCATGACTTTACAATAGGAAGAATCGCCGACAGCTCTGTCTGGTGCAGGGTTGCCAGGTTTTCGCTACAAAACCCACCCAATTACTACTCAAAACTAGCCTGAAAATAGCCTAATTGCTTTCGAGGGGGTCCCCCAGTAAAAATCGCGTTCGGGGGGTAAAATACACATTTTTTTGGCGGGGTTCTCCTGGTACAATTCACATTCCAGGGCCTAAATATCACATTATTGGGGTCGCTTCAACCTGCTGACATAAAAAACAACCGGCGGCAATCGCGGATTTGGCAACACTGGTCCGCAAACTACGTTTCATATAACTCCTCCCCGAACTTCCCGCTGCCCTGTATCTTGGTCTCTCATTGGCTGTAGGTCATCGCTGATGTGTTTTTCAGTCAGAACTCATTTCACACAGCAGGATTGTGACTCGCCGACAGCTCCAGATATTTAGCATGCCAAATATTTCACAGGCGACGCATCGGCGATTCCTTCAGATCGCGTCTTTGATCATTCACACTGCGTGATTGTCAATCGCGTGAACGAGCACCGATTTGCCTCTGATTTCGGCCATTTGTCGGCGATTTCGCAAAACCTGTCGGCGAGTGAAAAATCGGGCTAAAATCGTGCAGTGTGAACTCGGCATAAGGTTTTTTAATGAATCTTTGCAAATCGCCTTTCCTTATAATGTGCTAATTAGCAAGTTTCATGATGAATGCGGCTAAAGTAAAGAGTCCCTCAGAGAGCAGCTCGGAAGAGAGGGGCGGGGTCAGCAGAGCTCATAAACATTTAAAGGAAAATGCTACAAAACGGCTTGCTCTAAAAAGAGCTGTTTTTACAGGGTAAAAAGGGTGTTGTTTTACACTACCATTGATAATTTTTAACCAAACTATGTTACAGACTTTTCATTAAGACCCCAAAGAATCATATCAACTTGTGGAAAATGGGCATCCGATGACCCCTTTAAGTTCAGGCTGAAGTGTTTTAGACTTTGTTTAGAGGCTTTTAGACCTGGTTTAGACTTTCAGAAAATGTAAAAATATACACTAATGGTCAAAAGTTTGGAATAATAAAGATTTTTTAAAATGTTTTTGCATGAAGTCTCTTGCTCACCAAGGCTGCAGTTATTTGTTAAAAAATACATAAAAACAATAATATTATGAAATATTATTACAGTTTAAAATAACTTTTCTATTTGAATATTTTGTAAAAATAATTTATGCTTGTGATGCAAAGCTGAAGTTTCAACATCATTACTGCGGTCTTCAGTGTCACATGATCCTTCAGAAATCATAATATGCTGATTATAATATATTTCAAATAATATTTCAAAATGTTTTACTGTGTCTTTGATCAAGTAAATGCAGTCTCGGGTAAGAATTCTTTCAAAAACATTTAAAAAAAAAAATCTTAATTATTTCAAACCGTTTTTGACTATGTTTTTAATCTCTGTTTTGTTAGATTTGCCAGCAGTGAATGATCTTCAACTGTCAGCTTACTTGTACTGATTTTGTACAGTAAAAACCGGTTATTGAAAAGTGAAAATATCAGCATTAAATAATTATATACATAAAAAAGCATATCTCAACATATAACGATGAATGAATCTTTAAGATGTCACAATGCAATTTGTTAACATTTACAGCAGTGGCGTGCCACAGACCTCCGGATGGGCAGGGGCTCAAGCCCCCCGGACCCCTGTGCACGCCACTGATTTACAGACACATCAGAATGTTTTAAAATGTCAAATCCATGAAATTGGAAAGTGTCAAGAATGTATGCAATTTAAAAGGCCCTGGGGTCTCTGGGACCCCCAAAGGGTTAATGATCCGACAGATCTGCCACTAGGTGGCGCAGTTGCAGTGAATGAGTGGCATTCTGCAGCACTGGAGCTCGTGCAGGGGAGGAGGGAGACCCCCAGCTCCGGACAAACTTTGCAGGATTGCGCAGAACTGGTTGAGTCGCTCGGAGGGAGCTCGAGCTCTGAGGTCTGCGATTGGAGGAGAAAGACCGAGTCCAAAAACTATCAGCCAGGAAACGTCTCGGGTTTCAGGGGGGAGTGACATTTCTTCAGGGGGTTGGAAGGAGAGAGAAAAAATCTCTGTAAACCTGACAAAGCGTCTGAGAACAGCCAGTATCCTCAGAGACTGCGCTCATGTCACTGGATGTGTATTTTGGGATGGATGTTTTATTCGGTGTTTGTTGCACTGTCGCATCTCGTGTAGCTGAAGGCTGATGCGCGTTTGCACGAGCCGTTTGGTGAAGCAACAGCAACTTGGTTTACGGACGAAAAAACAAAGTTTTTGGGACGCGTAGTTTTTTTCCTCTTGTGGAAGGATTTACACAAACACGCACGGATACTATCGGTGGGTCGCTATTGGCATGCGATCCTGTCGTTGGTGCCCCGTTGGATTTGGGAATAGGGAATAGTTTAGGTCACATTCCTGTCTGGATTCGGCCCATGAGCTCTCTGTTTATATGCGGATCCTGAACTTCACTATCAGCTCCTTCTCTGTAAGATATTTGTGTTTCTGTTGCTATTTTAAGCGGAGGTTTGCTTGTCTTTTATGGAAATGCAACTTTTTGTCATTTATTGCGGCTTTACGCATGTTTAATTATCGTGGCTGCAACTTTTAAAATACGCAAATGTATCTTAACTACTACATACGAGTATGTATTATATTAAATGCGCACAAATTTGGATATTCTAGGCTATATCTGAAGTTACGCGGAGTTCACTGAAAATGTCATAACTTCTCTTTTATGATCAGCGATGGCCTTGTCAGACTCTTTTATCAAGGTTATTTAACAAAATATTTTCACTTAGTTTAAATGTATGCACACTTTAGTGTGTGTGCATTTTTTCTTGCTCGCTTTTTATCTTTTAAAATAAAGACAGCTTGCAAAAGGTAAAATTATGAGTGCCGTTATGAAACATCAGATAGCCTACTACTTTCACTGTATGAGAAACATGTCATTTAAAAATGTCGTCTTAAATGAAAGCTGCAAGCCAACGCTAATGTAATGCGTGATATAAAAATCATACAAGTAAACGTTCATAAAAACTTGTTATATTAACTGTTAAATACTGTTAAATACTCCATAAAGTCAAATATAAGTCAAAATGGTTAAATCCACTCAAAATCACCACTTAGATTAGCTCAGATAGCTCGTTCTCAAGCGTCAGGATTTCCAAAAGTATGATTTTAATGCATTCATCATAATATACTGCAATCAAAACGTGCACATTTTTTGAACACTTCAATCAATTCAAATTCAAATTTAGATTCGAATTCAAAATGCAACCAATTTTTGTGTTTTTCAGGAACAGTCTGGCCTACCTGTTGTTTTCTTTCTTTCTATCTTTTCTTTCTTTTTTTTTTAAAGTGTCTTTCAATCATCGTATAGTTGTATCCCCAAGTATCCCCAGGCTTGCCCTGAAATCTGTGGATACAATAACATCACTGAAACACACTTATGAGTTTGCTTTAGAAAGTTTACTTTGCCATGATAAATAAGTGGGTTTTGCATTTCCTTAGTCAATAGCCTATTAGTGATAAATTCACAGAGCAAAGCTCTGTGTTGAAATAAACTAGAATGTTATTTGCAAAAATCAGTCAATAATTAACTGTAATCATAATTTAGATACTAATTAGAGTTGATCTAATGATCAAATCTGTCCATTCACGAAGTGATCAAATTAGTCTCCAGTAAGAAAATCATGATAAACTCATTAGATTTGTGTTTTCTAATGGTCTTCGATTAAGAACGAACATTAGGTTCAAGTAACAATTCAAATGCAATCAAAGAACACAGAACAGCTGACTCCAGAGGAACACCAGTGTTTTTCTTTGCATTGGCATTAAATCCTTTCTGTGTATTCTGATTTGAATGTGAATAGGATGCTGAGTAACGCCTTCAGATTGAGTGTGCACGCGTTATATGCCGCAGAAAACATTCTAAATCAATGCTTTGGTGAGAAAAGTTCTCTAAAGGTGACGTCATGTATTGCATTGGGAATCTTTTTCAAAATCATGCTCATGCAGCAAACCTGGTAAGCACTGACGGTGATTTGCTCTCTGTTTCTATCCAGCATTAGCAGAAATGCGTCTTGCGATCTCTATGTTCACTAGTTATCAAACCTATTAAATTTAATTGAATGGCGCATGATTAGATATGAGAATAAACTATAGTGCTCGTGTCCGAACTCGTGTTACAGCATTAAAATCCTGCATTGCTCACAGTAAAAAAAAAAAAATCCTCTGCAGAGGAACCCCACCAGCTGTCAATCATCTCTCAAGCATTGAACCCTGTTATAAATGTAGTGAATCGCGTGTTCACTGACTGACTAACTTACTGATTCCCGCATTTTCAATTCCTTTTCCGTTGTCTTGTTTTGAATGTTTGAAATCATATTTTTGTTTGTGCAAATGAGTTCTAAACTGCCAATAAAGTTGTTTCTGTTAGCATAGGAATGAAATGCAAGTCTTGTGATAGATAGATAGATAGATAGATAGATCAATGTATTTGCTTGGGATAAAAGTGTCTACCAAATGCATAAATGTATATAAACAAATGCACAGAAATATATCCATAGTTTGTTTAGCTAGATGGTTTGCAGTCCTGATAAAATAAATCACTGTTTAATAGTGATGTTGGAGAATTGTCTCCTACATTATTAGTCTGTCAGTTCTTTGGAAAGTTAGCCAAAGTTGCAGGTAGCTCTTGAGGCAGTGGCTGATGGAGGTGTTTTGTCGGGTTAGTGTATAGGTGTCAGACTGTAGGTAGGTCTAAAGCATCAGAGCTTTGGTATGTCTGTGGCAAGGCTCGTTTAACAGCATTTTGACACGTGGGCCTTTAGTTTCTATCGGTCTCTTTTATAACTAGGCCTACGCACTCTGCAAGATATAGCTGTGCTTCAGAATCAACTGATTTGAAATATTCACACTAGATATGTAGGGCCCAAGCTATGGAGTGTTATCTAGAGTGTTTTATGGATTGTGTATGGCACCTTGAAGGACATTTTTCTAATTGTTTCTCCTGTGTTTTTGATTTTTGGTGATCACCTGTCCCCGTCTCTGTCCTGTCTGCTGCCCTCCTCAGCCCAGGTGATCGGTGGGAATTCCAGTGAGTGTCCGACTGTACAGCCTGCAGTTCATGGTTGGGTGGAGCCCCTCAGATGGGATCCGTGTCCAGGGGGAGGCCGAGGAGGGGGGGATGGGGAGACACGCCCGCTGCTGACGGGATGTCCACCCGAGGGTGGCTTCTGGGTGCGCTCCTACTTTTGACCCTGGCAACGGCGTCCGTGGCAAGGCCATCGCCAAAGATCGCTGAAAAGGTGGAGACTAAAAGTGAACGTGAAGGTAAGGAATAAGAGCAATGGAATATCATTCAAGAAACATTCCCAGTCTTTACAGCAGGATCTTGTTAGGAATTCTCGATACTTCAGTGGTGACAAGAAAACAGATGCTTATTTACTGCTTAATCGCTATAAAAACAACCATCTTCTCCTACGCAGCTGCACCTATGTGTGAAAATATTTTGTTTTTATTGGAGGAAGTCTTGGGAAAATAAGGAATTTGGGTGAAACAAAACATTGCCGCACGGAATTTCTCGTGGTATAGATAGGATTCCTCATGGCTTCATACATCATTAGTTAGTGCAGATTTATGGGATTTAACTTTTCTTAAACGGTTGTGTTCAGCCCTTCAAGACAGCCAGGAAAGTTCTGAGGAGTTGCTGGTTTGCAATGATGTGTGGTTTGGAGGTTTTATGAGTAGCTGTATGCAAACCCTAGGAAGTGCTTCTTTTGCATGGAGCACGCCTTTGAAATGCTGATAATTATGTGGAGAAAGTGGTTTAAGCATATATCTGGCGTCTTTGAACTGTGAACCCTGAGGTTTTATAATGTATGGAATTATTTTTCGCATGCTATACTCACAACAGCTCGTTTCAAAAGAGTCGCTTTCAGGATTTTTGTGGTTCCACTCATAACGTCTCTTTTCCTTTCTCCCCCCATATTTTCTCTCTCTCCATCTGTCTGAGTTTAATGTTGTTCAGAGTTGAGGACCACACACATACCTGCTAGTTTGGCATGCAGATGCAAACCAACCCGTATTAGTTTGTTTGGGAAGAAAATAAACCTTATATGCTTTCAGATTTGAACTAAAATGAAACGAGATTCTCCACTCTTTTTGGAGGTTTCCTGACTTCCTTTTAACGGGATGTGGTTTGTCAACGTTTTCATTCCTAACTCTCATTTTATTTGGTTCTTTGGCACTGTCTGAAGTGGTAAATTCTCAGTGGCGTATCTTGGCCCAGTTTTGCCACATTCTACCATTAGTAGTTGAGATTATTGATATGATTTTTCTCTTTCGTTTGGGGTAGCAGGTAATGAGAACTGTTGCGTTTGATAAGTCTGCTTTTGTTCTTCTGGCTTTAATCACTATATTAATTAAAGGGTTGTCAAACACAATCACTGGAAGTAGCCACCCAACCCCTCCAACCAACACTGTCCAGATGCCCTTTGACCTCAGGGTTAAAAAAAAGGTCCATAGCAGGGTTAAAGGGAAAGTTCACCCAAAAATAAGATTCTGTCATTATTAACTCACCCTCATGTTGTTCCAAACCTGCACGACTTTCCTTTTTACGAAGTAAACGAAGTAAGAAATTTTGAAGGATTTCTGCTCTTTTCAATAAAATGGAAGCATATTGTGATCAACGGCTTTGGGGACATTTTTTTCAACCAAAAAGGACAAAAAAAGCACCAAAATGTTCAACTTTTTAGTCTTTTGGTATAGATTTGTGCGAGAAACGATCACATTTAAGTTGTTACTCACTGAAAATTGGAGTAGACTTGTATGGACTACTTTTATGTTGCTTTTTATCCTTGAAACTCCTTTTATTCTTCTATGGGAAAGAGCAGCTTGGAAATTTCTTCTTTCCACACTTGTTTAGAGTGACACATGGGTGAGTAAATGAAAGATTCTGCTTTTTTGGATGGACTGTTTCTTTAAGAGTAAAGCCTCGCTTAACGTCTCAAGTACAAAAGACGTTCTATTGCGCAATATCGCATTGCATTGTTCTACCGGTTATCTTTTGTCCAAAGTCAGATGCTTAACTTTTCATCTTCTAATGCTAAGTGGTCTATGTTGTGGAACTTTGTAAGACGATTTGCACTTTTGTCCTATCATATGATGGAAGATTACGGGAGGTCATGCGACAGAGGATTAAGTGGCTGAAGTGGTGTCATGTGATGCGGAAAGGCTGGGAGGTTTTGGTGAAATGTGGAGAGCGCTAACCACACCAGTTTCTTGTGGTACAGACGCAACTCAAGTAGTTGTGCTCAAATGGTTGTGCTAAACATGTTTACTTTTTGTACCAAAGAACAGTATATGTATCAATTCAACAACAAAAAAAAGCGTGCCATTAAACGCCCACCCCTGGAGGGAAACTTCAACAGCCCCCACCTGATGCATGCAAAGCCCACCAAGGGCTCGCTTGTGTTTCTGGGAGGGGTCATTGTTTAAGATAGCATATCAGTTTAGAATTCTTACAGAGTTTCACATGAGCTGGTTTTTCTGTTAAGGGAGAGTTGATTATATGAAATATTCCATTACCTTCCTGAATCAGCAACGTTGCTAACCTAAAAAGAGTTTTATTTGGAACGGGCGTCGCTTCTCTTTAGACGTGATAAAGGCTGGGAGAGAAGTCGAAATCTTCTCAGAGGTTGGAAAAGAACACATTGTGAAAGTGTGGGAAAGCAAACTTGGATCAAATGTAATTTGACAGGGCTTAGAGCACAATAGAGTTGAAGATCTTCGCCCTTTATTCTCTCATTCCCTGGCGCCCCATAAGGTTTGTGGTTGGAACCAGAGGTATGGCCAGGCTGACCCAATGGTGGAAAATGTGGAATCGCACGAGCTTGGTTCGGATCATTGTTATTTGGATTGTGTGATATGGCCAGGCTGACCCAATGGTGGAAAATGTGGAATTGCACAAGCTTGGTTCGGATCATTGTTATTTGGATTGTGTGATTTATTTATTGTCATTGGAGTGGTTCGGCTGGGGTTTTAGTGTGCGTGTGTGCCCTGTTGGTTTGGACAGAATTAGACACAGTCAAACAGAGCTTTGATGATGTTTAAAACATTGGCTGGAGATCCAAGTGAATCTCTCGCTGACTTTCCTGCCATCAGTCTTTTTTCTAAAATTGGATTTGTCCCCAATTCCATTCTCTCTGCCTTTTTAGCCCGAGTATTTTCTTCTTGTAACCCAGACGTTCCTGTTCACAACAGTGACAATACCCGAACCAGTAACACCAGAAGTGTGAGAGATGCTCAGCCTCTCGATAAGCGTGACTTAAATTGACCACCTGCATACAGTAGGGGGTTTCCTGGGCGAATCATTCTCTGTTTATACTAAGAGTCCTAAATCATGATAGTAAGTCCCTGTAATAAAAGTGTCAGCTCACGCCCTTTGTTTATTATGTTTTCTCGGGTGAATAAAGCCTCATTCTCCCACTAAACAAACTAAACTGTATTTTTCCCCCAGAATTTTTATATGTGGCAATTGGCTGCTGTCAACCTTTGCAGTGTTTTTTGTTAATACATGTGTGCTGTATATGCTTTATATTAGGTAACACAAAGGGGTTTGAAAGAAATTAATTTTCTTGTAAAATATATAAAAAGTATATAAAATATATATTTTATTTTTTAAATTTTTTCAGTTTTTTTCTACATGTATATTTCAGGTACATGCTAAATTTTAAAGTTAATGATTTGCTCAAATTTGTGTGGTTGTTATATATATATAAAATTTGTTTTATTATTATTTTATTTATTAATTTATAGTTTTTTTTTTCACTACATTTCCCCCCCTATTTTAGCAATCACTGTGTGGTTGCTAAAGTGATTTGTGTGGTTGTTAGCACATTGGTAGGTGGTTTCCAGAGTAGGTCTACATCAGGTGCTTCCTAGGTGGTTGCTTACTGGCCCAAGACATAAAGAGGTATTTTTTTAAATTTGTTTTGCCCATTTTATTCATTAAATCCCTTAGAAACCAACTAGCACAACTCTCCTCAAGAAGCCACATGATTTGATGCATAATTCATGCCTGTAGCACAAACGGTACAGATCAGGTCACACGTTCAATTTTAAAGTTAGCGGTTTGCTCAAACCCACCACCAAATTCCAGTGTTTATATGTGACTCCAGTAGGGTTGTGACGGTGAGGAAATTTTCCCACCGGTTAATCGACGTGTGACAACACCGGTAATACCGGTATCACCGCGGGGGCGGGGCGTTCCCTCTTTTCCTCGCTTTCCTTCGCTTTTAAATAGCTTGTAAAAGCGGTGTGCCCATTTTACTTTAACTTTCAAATAGCGGCAATTCGGCGTAAAGCAATTGTTAATTTTTAGTTTGTTTGAATTTTCCCTCTTTTCCTCGCTTTCCGTCGCTTTTAAATAGCTTAA